CCGTGCCTTAAAACAACCAGCAGAAGGCTAAAACTCCAAAGCAGCAAACTACAGTGAAATACAGTGACAGCAGTTTTCTTAACTAACAACAAGGAGGAAGATAATAAGCACGACACTCAGCAATGGAATCAGCATGAGGCAACTTCAGAACAAATGCTGAAATTGCATTTTTTTCAGCCTCTAAAAGCAACTTTTATGTAACTTACAATTACTTAAGATAGGCATGCCTGTGAAGAATAGCACAGACTTGAACTTAAACATTATGGCATTCTAAATCAGCTAAACAAAAGACACAGCTGCAGAAGCTTTGATCTCCTGTACTTATTTGCAACCCACCTTGAGACAGCTGCTCTTACTACTGCCAAACAGCTTTTCTCTACATCATCTTGGAAAGTGCAGTCCTCCAGGAAAATCTTCTCCCTATTAATGTCTTCAGAGGCCTCACATGAGTGAAGATATATAGAACAGACTACTTAGTCTGTTCTAGAGAGAACCAGGCCTAATGACTGTATTACTTCTCTAACCTAAGCAGACTTTGGTTAATAAAATATATTTTCTCTGAATCTCATCTCAGCACTCCAAAGCAGAACTCATGGTAACTGGCAAGATGTCTGTACAATGGCTGAGTAATGCAAGTTGATCTGTGCTAGTGAAAACCACTGGACTTGGAAAGAACAGGCATGTGAATAGTGCATTGGAAAGAACAGAGACTTCCATTACAAGGATGTTCAGAAGTAGATGATGATTCTGAAGTAAAAGTTATAAAGCATTTTCAACAGAAAAATTTCCTTCTCCTCTAAATATTAAATTCTTGAGGATCATTCAAACAAACCTTTCCTGCATTTTAGTTTAACTTTCATGTTGAGGACTGCTCACCACTTCATCCTCTAAGTACCACTTAATGCAGAACTGGCCTTAATAACAACAGAAATCAAACTGAGAAATGCAAAAGCAAGGCAAATGCAGAAGAAAGTCCCCAAATCCACAATAAGTGTTCTGTAAGGTAAGCAGAATTTTATCTAAATAAAGGAAACAAAACAAAGATGATGATAACTGTTTCTAACAAGTCTAACACTCATCTTTAAGGCACAACCAACTCCTTACCTTTTCTTGACATATGTTCAATGTGAGGTATTGGAAAGACGTTAAATCTATCCTGCAGTGATTTTTCAGAATTACAGATAATTTGCCTAAATTTTAAATGGCATTTTTAGACTACCATTTGCTTCATAGTTTTAATAGTTTAATAGCTGTGGAAGCATGAACAGCCTTAATTTAGTTTTTTGGAAGTCTGTGTGCAAGTTAAAAATAGCTCCTCCTACATCAATAAGAATTTCTACTACCTGTGAGAATTTCTCTTAGCTATGATATCAAGCTTAAAGTACAGGGACACAATCATCAGGCTGTTTATGGGAAGGGCAGTAAGTCAAAAGTTCCTCTAACTTGAAGCACACAAAATTCAGACGACACTTTTATGGCAAACTAAGTCAAGCAGTACTCGTCTGCTGAGACACTGGCAACTACAAATAAACAATTAAAGCTTTATGCAGTAGCTAAACATTTCCCTAAACAAACCCCTTGTACTCTGTAGCTCAGACAAGCTATGTGAATATTTAAACAAACCTCTGGATTTAATAGCATCACTTTTTCAATTCTATTCTCTATGAAATTTGGTTACAAATTAACAAAGAGCAGCAATTAAAGAAGTGACAATAAAATGTCTCATTCTATTTTTAGAGTAAGGCTGATTATTTACAATGAGTAGATGATTAGTCACTCATTACAAATATTTGTTCTGCTTCCTTTAATTTTGTCAGATAAAGTTGTTTATCTGATAGATGCATTGATGTAAATCTGAGAAGGTGGCTTTTAAGGCCAGTTTTTAAACTGTGGGAAGAGTTTCTCAACTTTTTCAGAAGGTACCAGAAATCAAAGCTGAAATGTTCAAAGAATTATTTTCAAACAGTTCAACTTGGGGAGACCTTTGAAAGCAATTTAAAGACTCTTACTTTTTGATCAAGTTCTACCCTTTAATAATCTAAATTAGTCTTACAGTCTATACTAATTTTCTATTTTATTTTTAGTTATTTTTCCTTTAGGCCAGAAATAAGAAAAGCATTAAATCATAATAAAGATACAAACATATAAAAAGATACTCTATATTATCTACATACATAGTATTTGTATTTAGTGTTCTTTTTTTTTAATTAATTTTTTTATATATGTAAAAATATGTATGTATTTTGAAACGTGTTACAACAGATGATAGTTTTATCCTCCATGTTAACAATAGAATGGAAAAACATTTTCTATTTCCTCGCCTAAAATAATTTCATCAAAGCATTTTGATTAGTTTTGTCAATGTCCTTGAAGCAGCTTTCAAAAAGCTGCTCAACTACATAATTATTTTACTTCTAAGACTGCAGAATGAAACTGATGAATCACAGAAACCAGCTATATATAAACTACTACTGCTCAAGATACTCTAATGATGTTATCAACCACTTCTGAAGTACTGGATAAAGTAAAAAAGAAGGAGGGCAGAGAACAAATAATATTTTCTTCATCTCAAGAGATGCTTCAGTAAGGAGGGACAGAGAGATGAGTTACAAATGAGAATGGGTTTAGTCTTAAGAAAAAAATACAGCATCACAAAGTCAAAGACTGAACTTAAATTATATTCACTCATTTTAGCATGAGCAAAATCTCATCAAAACTGCAGTCTGTATACTTTTGTGAAGTTATGCAAAGATGATTGCTGTGCAACTGCAGCACTCCTTTAAGGAGAAGTGACACCATAAAAGCAGAGTCTGCAGCTGCTCACAAGCTGCTCCTGAGTCATGAGATCTGGGACAAGTCATATTGGCTCTGACATTTACTAGGGAATGAAATATCCATAGCTGGTTTTAAATTGCATTATTTGAGAGTGTTCCTGTACTTGAAGCAAGTGAAAAACAATTTTCATTTCCTTCTTCAAACAGAAAATGGCTGAATCATTCACAAATACTTCTTACAGTATTTCTGTTGTTCTGAACATAAGAGCAAAGCAGCATGAACTGTGCCAAAGTCAATTAAGGGACAAAACAGTAAGGTGTTCCTAATAAGCAAATATCATTAAATTAACAGTTCATTATTCAGACATCATGTTGTATTTGGAAATACTTTTAAAGTTCACGTATTTTCTTAGTTTGCATTAAGCCTCTGCAAAAGCACGAATAGCTGCTCGTTCAATGACTTGTTTTAACATGCTGGAATTGTCTCAAAACAAGCATGCAACCCATGAGTTTTAATCTTCTCTGCATGCAATGTTTGAATTCTTGCCCCTTCACATTGATCCATTAAATTTGCCATGTCAGGAGTTGGCAAGATAACAGGAAAGGGAATGACACTGCTCTGGGTATCAGAAGGTTATAATTTTTGGAAGGCAATATCATCCAGCTTTGCTGATAAGATTATGGGAAATAATTTGATTTTCAACCTCGTCCATTTTCTACTTAAGGAACTCACTGCCAAATCATGAGCCACAGCAAATCCCAATTCTTGTAAACATCTTTGTATTGAGTAGTTTAATCTACTTCAGTGGAGGCATAGAGAACCACTTAGTACAGAGAAAATAGTATCAGCATAGAGAAACAGCTTTTTGGGCTACTCCCCTGAATAGACGTTTGGTAACAAGATAGTACGCAAGTTTAATTCCGTGTCTCTTGGCAAACTCAGTTTAAATTGAATACTTCTTCCTCTTTTCAGAATACTGCCTTTATGGGAGACATCATCACTGACACCTTGAGTCTTGTCTTGCTGCTGCCCTTGCTAGCAGGGACAAGTTGTTACATCACAAAGACCCACTTGCAGCACACCAAGCACAAGCACTGTAACCAAGTCCTTTTTCCAACTGATACTGGCACCTATTTATCAGTCTGCCCTGTTATCCTGCAAAACAAGTTACCATTTCTCCAGAACCACATTACAAAATGTACAGAATTAGTCATCTAACCAGTGCTGTGCTAATTGATGGGATCCATATCTGCAGTTTTAATTTCCCTGTTCCCCTGCACTTCCTTGCTGTTACACCCTGAGATACACAAGAGCCAAAAACTTGCTGATGAGAGAGAAGCAGAACTAAAAGCTAATGATGTAAAAACCAAATAAATGATTGCAACTCCACTGCCACAGATTTACTTCTATTTCTTAATGTGTACTTTTGAAAGTACTACACATTTCAAAATCTTTAAGAGAAATGCTGCAACATCATAGAATGTCAGTCAAGTATGCAAACACATCCAGTGCTACTGTGCTAGACCAGCAGACAGTTCAGTTCAGGTGATTTTGTGCCAAGGAGTAAAGAATGAAATCAGTAGTCAGAGGTCAGCTCCATTACAGTAACCCACAACAGAAATTACTTCCATTTCATAGATTAACTTGCAAAGTATTAGAGCAGCAATGAAAGCAAGCACTGCGGTTAAAGGAGAGATTTAAAAAGAAAACAACCAAAAACTAAACAACAGACACTGGAGAAACAGATTTTGTCAGTTTTCTGTATTTTTCAAATATGCTTCCAGGTTACTTTAGGAGGCTTCTTTCAGTTCTGACCCTCCCAGCTGGGAGGTAGAAAGGATATAAAGTTTGCTCATTCTGGTAACAAGGGAAAAGAACTGCAGTTGTACTGCATGCTTACAAACCACTGCATGACAAGGAAAGTCCCTGAATTTAGGCACAGCACCCTAGCAAGCATCCCAGACTCACAAGGGTGAGAATAAAAGAAGAGGGAGGCAGGCACTTCAGCACCACGCCACGTGAGCAGAACCTTCCTACACTCTGCTCTGCACTGTTTGCCCATCCAGCCTCTTGCTTAGCACACACAGGGTACTCAGCATAGCTCAATGCTACACTCTACCATAAAACCTGGCTCTACTGTTTTCCATGAATTCTAAAATTACTGTTTTATTGTTTAGCATAGAGCTAAACCACTGGGTTACAAAGAATTGCAATCAACATTTTACCTGTATAGGTGGCTCGATCATTATCCACGCGGGAAGCATCAAACTCGGGTTAAGAGGTTGAGTTCCTACACGGAAATAAATGCCACCATTGGTGTCACAGGCCCAAACATGCTGATTTCCACAGGTCAAGCTGATCAGCTTTACACCACCTAATAACAAAGAGATTATTAGCAACCTGGCATTTTCCTTTTAAATTCAGCTAAAAAGCACAACTTGTATTTAGACTTCATTCTATTAAACAAGCTTTAGTCACAGAAAAATGATTAGAAGTTAATACAACTTGTGGGAGAATAAAAAAAAATTGCTGGATACAATGAACAAAATCAACAGGTAGTACATATGTGAGAAATTTCTCTTCTAAACCTAAATGTTTTAGACATAGGAGAGTGCAATTTCTAAAGCACATTACAATAACCAAATTCAAGCAGGGAACCATTCCATGACAAATGTTATCAGTGCCTAGACAAACTTTCACATGACCTAATGTGAACTCTTCTCTGTAACTGGCCATGCTTGGAGACTTTTAAAGGTGTCAATCTGATAATACAGTCAGCAAAGAACATTCCTAACACCAACAGCATTTCAAAAATATGAGAGCATATGGGTTATGCATTTTAGCGTTAACATACCAGTGTCACATCTGTAAATAAAGGAACTGATTATAAAATGGATTAATATTCACCACTGTAAATATTTATTACACCAATCTCAAATGTGTAGCAGTATTTTAACCCTGTCAGCACCATCAAAACAAAGCTGCCAAATAAGTGTGTGTTGGAATTTTGATATGGTTTGTGTTTGGGCTTAGTCTAGATTCCTGCAAAGATAGTAGAGATACAAACCTGGTATTTTAAACTAAAAAGAACTGCTAGTTAACTGTCTACTGAAACTTACTCTTTCAAATTAATTTTAAAATAGCCACGTGACATAATGAATCTAACATTTGATTTCCTATTTTCACCCCATGTTGGACAAAACAAAGCTAAGTAATGGAAAACAAGTTCCAAAGATAGTGGGACCCAAGCAGTACAGATCCACTACAGAAGGAATGCTCTGGTCAGACTCCAAACTAAAGATTCTAAAAATAGGCCTTGCTGGTTAACTGAACATGCCAGTGCTGCCTGGGATATCCCATTCTTGGTAACAGTTCTGTTTTCAGGATGTGAAATTTGGCAACAAATCCTTGTAAAGTGCATGAGACACAGCATTCCTTAAAGAGGGGCTTGGAATTTTATCCCACAGAGTGCAAGTTCAAAGTATTTCTGCAGAATGCAATATTCCCAATTGTTAGGACTTGCTGGGGAAAGAACAGGAAACAACAGGACAACACAGCTTTATCTTTTAATTATGTGTAGTAAACAGATCTCATTAAGCAAAATTATTTTATCTTCTGAATCACAGGAATAAAAATCAACCTCTCACATCCCAAAATTTCCTTTACCCAGACAACTACATATAAAAACCAAATGACAAACAAAAACTTCTACTGCTCAGGATGAGAACATCTACAGCAACTTTCTTTTGTAGACTTGAGACTTGACTTTGAGCTGCAAAGCCAAAATCTTTCTTAAAACCTCATTATTCCTTCTAATAAAGTATGTCTCAAAGCAATGGCTTTGTCACATGATACCTCAGCTGTCCAAGTGTTCTGATCCAGACAAGCATCAGGCACTCAAACATGGAATCACATATCACCTACCCGGCATAGCTGGAATCATTTACGTCTACAGTACAATTTGATATTCAAAAACACAACTCTTATGTAAATGTTTTGGGATTTCTCCCTCCTCCCACTTACCATTTGTATCTTAGGGCAAGGTCACGTTAACCACATTCACCAACTGTTTTAGAGCAAGTAGCATGAACCAGCAGCATTGTTTATTGTTAAAACCTAAAGGTCATTCTACTGTGTTTAGAAACCTTGATAGTGATAGTGGAATGCTAATCAAAATAATCTACCAGGTGCTACTCCCAGTACATAATGTAAAAGGCAAGATACTAACAACATAATAAGAATATTTCAACCTTAATGATGGTAAACCCCATCACTTCCATATGGAATTCTGAACTGCACCTTACAGAAAGTTGTTCCCACCCTGCCTGCCCTCGCAGTCGCAATCCTAATGTTTCTGGAGTAAACTTAAACATACACTTGACACAACATTAATAACTCTTCAATTTTTTCAGCCCCATTAGAACAATAAAGGCTTTTCTATTATAGCCATGGATATGCACTTGTTAAGCAGTGATGTACCACATGCAATTAAATGGAGGAAAAACGCCTAAAACATTTTCACATTTCAGTGCTAACCCACAGTGACAGCTACAGTGGAGTGTTTGAGTATTTGCTGACCCCAAATCTCTTCTCTGCCACCACCATGTGCCAGAGCTGACAGAACAGCTGAATGTAATGGTTGAATTTCTGAACTGCTGAAGTTCACAAGCCAGGTATTACAGTCAGCTAGCACCAATTGCACTGATTTCCTGTATGAATTCTTTTGAGATTTTCAGACAGTGTCCAGAAGTTACTTATTTTTTCAGTTAAACAGTTCCTGTCTAAACTGCTAGAAAGCAGTGCTTTATGAGAAGAGTTTCAAACCACACAGAAGAACAAAGTGGACAAATATATCCTGTAGGTCAGTAAAAGTAAAAGGCATTAGTTTTTAAACTATGGTATGATGAGTGATTTGGAACCAATTCATCAGATCTGAAAAATACCTGGTGTACAACTGAAAAACAAGTTAATTTTAAAACACCTGTTTTAGAATTTTTACATGAAATATTATAAACTATACACTAAAATTGTACATGTGGCTTAAACTCTACCAGCTGTGTCTGCCTTTCCTTAAACCTTAAGTTAAAATTGCCTGTCTCTTATCAGACCAGTCATGAACAGAACACTGCCATCAAAAATGGAAAAACCAGTTGAATTATTTTTAAAATGATGAGAGAATGGTGCACAGTCTCAATTTCCTTTACCTTCACCTGAAATAGGAGTGCAGATTAGCACAAATGTAAGAATGTTCTAACAGTTAGACTATTAAAGACATAAAACTGATGAGAATATTATTCATGAAGTTGGCAAATAACCTGATTACCCCAGAGCCAAACTCCAAAATGTGACTACATTTCAATGATCAAATCATGGTCAAGCACCTAAGCAAATGAAAAGAGCAGATAATCAGCATCACATTCTAAACATTATGCTGAATGATTAAATCACTATAAATCTGAACATGAGTGTTATCAGCTGCATCATTCATGAATGATTCAACTCTTGGAGCACAATTCTTCCTTGGCAGGAGCTAAAAATGTGTTTAACCATAAAATTCAGATGTTTGTGCCCAAGATCAGGTGATTATGGCTGCACTGAGGTACAAGAGCCAGCCTAGTTAAAGCTGCTGGAGCCCCTGCACCATGTCAGGCTGAGCCACTTCAGACTGACCAAGTGCAAGATGCACTGAACTCACACCAAGTACCTTGCAAACAGAAAACTTCTTGCCTCCAAGAAAAGGCTAACCAGAAAATTATTTGAAAGCCACATCTGTTCCTGATATTTTACCATCCCCTGCCAATAGGTACTATTTAATCCAGCAAATGTTATATTCTACACCAATAAACTAAAAGATACTTCTGGAAAATATGGTGTGCTAAGAGACAGTCTACTCAATAAAAATGTCATACCTAGTTGGGAGAGATCCAGTTTTGTCCAATGCATCCCTGTTGGGCAGCTGGAAGAAAGTGTTCTGATGAATATCTGCCCAAGACTATCCAAGCCCCAAATGGCATCCTGGCAGGCAGAGTAGTGCACCATTTCAGCCTCCGGTGGCAGCTGCACCGTAGAAGGACGAAAATGAGGGTTCTGATCACTGACACAAAACAGATCCTTGTTGCTTTGGCACAGCCACAAAAAGCTTCCTGCAGAAAGGACATTTGTGTTAATAAAATAATTCCTAATCCACTCTGAGAAAGCTTACACATCTCCTTTTTCTGAAAAAAAAAAAAATCAGTACATTTGAAGGCAAAACTAAAGCTTCTTGGCTATACTCATAGTGTAAGGCTTTGAAGTACAAATACACATCCTAAGCCCTTATTTAGGCACTTAAATACTCCATTTCTCAAATAAAAGAAGTAGTAAGTGATCTCATTTTAAGAAATGTTTCATTTGAAGGAACTAATAGAGAGAAGACACATGTAACAGTGCACTATCACCTCTCTTTATTCTTTTGCTCTTTTATATCCTTGATAATAGCCTCTGAAAAGCAGCATTCTTTTTCAGCTCTAAACCACATTTTTTCCACTAAAGCCAGTGTACTTAGATAATGCAATTGCTAACTACTGTAACCAGCAGTTCTGTTCCCTGACAGGGTCTCACTTTTACCAATAATGGGCAATTTTGCTGCAGTAACTGCACTCACAGAAGCACTTGGTTACTACAGGCATTTCAGCAAAGCATGCTCTGAAACTTCCAATTACAAATTCTGGCAATTCGTGCTTTGGCAGTTTAGGAAGTTGCTACTCCTGAGGACCACCCATTTCTTGGCTGGATGCCACTCCACACCAAAGGTGAGAGTGATTAATACGTTATTGTAATCTCCAGTAGTTTTACAGATATACTTCCACCCTACTGCAACTATTTTAGATCCCTGCAAACAGAAAAGACAACAAAAATCTGAAGTAATTCAGGATATATAATTACTTACACCATCAATTCCACTCTGTTTAAAAATCACATACACTTGCACTGTTGATTTACCAACCTTCATTAGATGAAGCCGGGGAAGCCAACACAAAAATCCATTTTGTGGCAGAAGCAGTACCACGAGGCACAATATTATTCCAATATGTGCCTTGAAAGAAAGAACAAGTGGCATTAATAGGAAACACCCTTTTCTGTTAAAATGTGTTATTTCAAATTTAGAAGAAATTCTATTGCAATCAATTATTAAATATATTTTAGACAAGATTTTATATTAAAATCTTCCAAGATACTGTTAGGGGGAGGGGGAAGCCTCCTCCTGACACCTATGTAAACACACACAGAGGAAACTGGGAATGCAGAAGAGGATAAAGAAGAATATTAATGGTCCTCAACAGGGGACCAATTTGATGATGAGGTTAAACAATATCCTAGATGTACTGTTAGTGTTTACCTAAACAAAGAAATGTACCAAAAATGTATTGTATTTTGAGAACTGTAGCAAGAAAAATAAAGCAATCCCTCTGTTGGCACTAAAAACCCATAACATTAGTGTCTTGCACAGTCACGCTCATCATGAGCCAGACTCCATTGTGCAAGATAAAATAGGTTCAGAAGCTTAAGATTGCCTTATCCCAGAGAAGAGACAAATGTAGGTGTTAAAAGCAGTAACTTGTGCACAGTTCACTGGTTGATAATGACTCTTTCATGAAAAATATTTCTCTTTAAATGAGAAAGTATTTAAGACCAAATGCTAATGAATAATTTAATTTAATTTTTAAGTAAGTTAAAGCTGCCCTGACTTGCCATGGGTAATTTCTGTGGTGACAGAATAGTAGTTATTTATTTCCATCTATTTAATATTCTTAACTTAAAAAAATAAAGATGCAAAAGCACACCAACCTATTAAATTTCCCTTTGCTACATGGAATTCGTTTTTGCCTGAAGAGATCCAGACTCCACTGCCATTGACTCCGAGGAGGCTGGGCTGACACTGAAGCTGCTGTGACCAAAATGCCATTCGAAGCTTGTCAGCCACCTTCTCCACAGGTGCCTGAGCTGCTGTTGCCACTGTGTGAGTTGCCTGGATTATGGTCTGGAACAGGCTGCACTGGTCAAACATTACATAATCAGTGATGCTTACCTAGAGGAAAAAGAAAAAAGTGCTCTTGATAATTAGTTAAGCTGAAGGGTGAACTGCACAATCTTTCACCAGAAGCTTTTTTTAGAATTCAAAGTGTAGGAAGGGAAAAATAAAAATGGTACATTTTGAGTAACTGTCTTACTAATAAGCCAAAATCAGTATTAAAACACCAGCACACAACTCCTTTCTATCCAACAATCCATTTAGAAATCTGCATTTTAAGATACCCCTTTGTTTTAGGATGTATCCCTCTAAAAACATGCCAAACTCTACAAACTAAAAGGTGAATTTTCAACTTCTCAAAGGAAGAGAAACTTGTACAGTGTAGGAATTCAAACCACATGACAAACTTGGATGCAACACTCCTTTGCAACTACCTCATGGACATTTTAATTCACAGTGCAGAAGGAGGTCTAAATAAGCAATTGCCCAATTCTGTCATGGACAACTAGGTTGGCAACGCTCTGGGATACTCCTAAAAAGGAACGAAATTTCTAAGAGCACAAGAAGAGCAGCAGTTTGCCAATAACCTCAAAGCCAAGCTACTCATGATGCCCACATGCAAAAAGGGATTATACATGCACATAGACCAAAATTCTTCTAAGGTAGCATATAGACAAATTTTGAGTAAGACCGTTTTTGTACTCCCTTCTTCCCCACCCCTATCTCTGGAGAAAACAAGAAAAGCTGGAGAAGCCAGAGTCAGGAATCAATACCAGACAATAATTGCAGTAACTGAGCTGGTTTCACCCACATGAACTGTGTCTGAAGCAAGAAGCTCCACATGGCTCAAAGAAACCTCAACTGAATGGAAAAATGTGAAACACATTCTTTTGCATGGTGACTTATTATTTGTTTTCTCTAGCTAAGGAAAAGGATGGGCACTAAAAGACAAGAGAAGAGGCTGCATTCAGCAGTCAGATTTGATGCTCTGCCTCAACAGCATGTCCTATGACCTGACGGAGCATTTTCTGTGTTCTTGAAAGCTTCTGCAATGCTGATCTGAATGACCATGGGATGGTTTTCCTTCCCTCTTTATAGCAGACACAGAAAGGGGATTTCAGCCACAGCCATACAGAAGTTTAAATACACTGAATAAAGTGTACTATTAATTGAATTTTTTCTTAGAACTTTGTGGGAAAGCAACAGAAATAATCAACCAAAGGTAAAAGACTAAACTGAAAGCAAAATAAAAAAATGCCTACTTGCCACCAATGGTTATCATCTCCTTGTGGTTTCTTTGAAACTATACCAGTCCTGAACCAGAGATTGCCATGGATATCCAAAGCCCATAATGTCTGCTGATCGCCAAGGGTTATGCACACTGGTTCCAAAGCTTGCATTTCACTGGAAATGCAAACAAGTAAAAATATTAAAAACCTTAATTCAAATTTATGTTAATGGTATTTTAAGGAAGCTATTACAATACTAATGGTTTAACACAGTTGAAACTCAGTGGGGGCAAGATAAAAAACACATTTGACATTGAATTACATTAAATTTTCAGTTATTCAGCATTTTATATTTTATTTGTTTAAGTAGAAAACATTCAACAACAACTACAACAAAGAGCATGAGTCCTTCAAAGATCACTCAAGATTTTAAACTTGGATACATGACAATAAAACTAAACAAGTCCTATTTTCTTCAGTAAATAAGCAATCCTGTGTTCTTTAAGGTTTTGATAAAACAGCTTCATAAATCTTTCTCCTCAACTTCTTTGACCTATTCTGAGAACAATACCTGCAGTTCAGGGACCACAAGGAGAAAACTTAACTATGTGACAGAGATAAATGCTGAATTCAGGACTGTAAGTCTCCTGCATAAGTAAACCATTTTCAAGCTCAGAAAACAGGGTCAGGTGATCATATCAGACACTGAAAAGGAAGCAAACAATGCTAGTTCTTTCAGATAACCTTTCTTGACAATTTAAGAACAAATAGTGACTGCCTTCTGCAATTTTAACACAAAGCCCAAGAACATGAAATGTACCTAAGGTGTAGGTCAGCAGGTATTTTCATTAAACAAACTCATGAGAGTACAAACAAATTTCACATTTGAACAAAGACATGGTAGTTTCTCAGACTGTTGAAGAATACCAGGCAGGGAGGTAGTACAAGTTAAGGTTTCACAAGAGGATATTCAGTAGATTAAATCTCCTGACAAGAAGAACTTGAATTTCTTCCTAAACTTGCACCAGGCTGATGTCACAAGAGACACCAAATTCTACGTTCTCAAAGCCAGCAGTAGAGACTCAGTGCTTTTAACTTTATCACAAAGGAACTACCATGAGCATAGGATCAACTACAAAGCTAAATACCAACTACACAAAGTATTTATAAAAATCTGTGGCTGGAGAGAGCAGAAGTGTTATCCAACTGTGTGGATGACCAAGAAAATGCATACATTTAAACTCATTGGAAAAAAAAAAAAAAAAAAAAAAAAAAAAAAAAAAAAAAAAAAAAAAAAAAAAAAAGAAAAAAAAAAGAAAAAAAAAAGAAAAGAAAACCTCTCAAAACCGGAGAGCTCCTCAAAAACATTATGCCACAGATTAAAGAAGCAATATTTAATAAAAAATAATGTTGACAGATATTATAAAGATATTTTACATTTTTTTCTCACTCTTTAAACCTGCTTCTGTTTATGACAATTCCTTTCATTACATAGCAGTCATGGATGGACGGATGGCTGGCTGGCTGGCTGGCAAGAAGTATAGACAGACAGCTAAAATACATATATACACATACACACAGTGGTATATAGACACATGAGCTCAGGTAATTCTTTTTCAAACATCAAGTAGCTCCAGCACAATTATTTGTGTCATTCTGGTTATGCCCAGCATGTCCCACCAGAATTACTACCTCACAATGTCACTCTTCCACTGCTCTCCTTCAGGACAAAAGCTGCGCACGCCCTCCCGGTACAGCAGCGCCCGCTGCTCGCTCAGAGCCCACACCACATTATTTCTGGATGTGACCTGTGACAGTGGACAAGGGCAGTCAACCTTTACTGCTCGGGCACAAGGACGATCCACACTCAGGCCTAGAAATCAGAAAATGAGGACTGCTTTACAAACTTTGGCTTTTTGAAACAAAAAGTATAGAGATAAAGCAACTCAATAAAAGAAAATGCAGAAGGGAATCTCCTTGACATGCTAACATTTGTCATTTGATCACAATTTCCTTGAGTGACTGTTCTGCCTATAAACTACTAATAATCTCCTCTAATACAGCTGATGTTACATGTTAAACAAGACACTGTACATCCTTCAACATCCTGCACAGTGCATGTCCAGTCCTGTCATTTCTGTTCCTTTTCTCCCTCTAGTGTCAGCACCAGGAATCTCCATTTATAAAACCTCTATTAGAGCTGACAGAAGTGTCAAAGAAAAAGCCAGTAATGGAAGAACTTTTGCCCAAAACGTGCCAGGGAGAGACGCAACCTGATCTGAGTAGTGACAGCAGAGCAATTGCAAAAGAGCATGCCACAGTGTGTAGTACTGAAAGGAGCAGAGAGGTTCTGGTAGATTTACAGGCAGTTTGCACACATTTCTACATCTAATCTACAGGAACATGTCTTCTTTATGATTACAGTGAAGCTTGATTTACACATATGAAACTGCATATGAAACATCTCAGGAGACACAGCTTTTGTTTCATCTCCTCATGCTGCCAAAGCCAGTATGAACAGACTCACGTGTATTATATATTCTAGACTAACAAGAACACTCATTTCTAAACCTCTGAGCACACACTTTTGTTATAAATGTTACAAAAGACAGTGAAGGGAATGAAAAGATCCTGGAGAAACAATTTTCACTGGCTGCCTCTCATTAGGAAGACTGATACACTGAGAATTTATTTTTTGCATCAAAAGACAAATTTTGCAGCCTAATAACAGCAGAATGTAAGCTGACAGAATCAAACCAATCTCTCAAAGGGAGGAAAAATATTGATTCAAAACTCCACAGAGCCTTGTATGATAAGCATCCAAAATTTACTCTCCATCACCACTATCCATGCCTGTCGGCAGTATGCATGTGACCATGGGCAGGTCACTTGATTTTTCTGGGACTACTATACTTAACTAAAAAAAAAAACCCAACAACTTTAATAGAGTGTCTTTGAAACAATGCTGTGTACTTAAAACAGTTTTCTTAATCACAAAAAATTTTTGCATTGTGCTACAGTAACTAAACCTAAAAGAGAAATTACGAGAGTACCAAAATTAAATGAAAGGTAAATGAGAATTTTGATAGCCACTCAACATGGTGTCCTGTTTCTATACTTCTTATACAGTTTGCCCTTAACCCAGTCCTCCATTCACCAGTAATTCCTTCATCATGTTATTGGTAATTTTTCCTTAAAAATTCAGCTCTCTGTGCAAGCCTCACATGCCCGAAAGTCCTTGATACTTTTCTACCCTTAACTCTAAAATTAGTACTACCATCCTTCATCCTAGCTGCTTGCATTTAGCCTGAATATTGTTTGCATAACACCTTCCAAATACATCCTCTTCTATTCACTGAAGAACTTTAAAGCCACGACTTCAAAGCTGCCACTAAACTAGCCCTTCTTTCCAGTTTGTGCCTCATTCACATCCAGGAAGAAAGCAGCTACAGATTCCTGCTCCACAGTCCATTCTAGCCCCCCATGGCTTTGCTTTCCCTATCACATAAACATATACCACTTGTCTATACTTCCAAAGCACTTCACCATCTGTCTCAGAATACCTTCCTGTCATTAGCAAGTGGTAACTCTTACCTTCCAGAGATCTGCACTTTTCAAAACACAAAGCTTCTACATTTCCCTATTCTGCCCACTGAAGGCTGAGCTGTTTCACTGCACCATACCACTTTCAAAGCAGGGATATTATTTTGATATTTTCTATAATCCCTTTCCATTCATCTCCATCCATCTCATATCTTCCTCATGCCATAAATTCTCTGTACTGTATGTACTCCACTTGGCACACACAAAACAAGTGGCCATGAACTGGCTTTCCCATTCTCCTAATTACACAAAATCTCACCATTGTTTCCAAGTGTTTCTCAAGATAAAAAGGTTTCATTATGTCCTGGCTGTGGACAACATTTATAGCAAATTGTCATCATCCAACAGACTTGAAATCTAGTAATCTCAGCCCACAAAAATTCAAGGAGCCTGCAATTAATTCAGGTACCTGTTTGCAGATACAGATCTCCATTTGTTCTGATAATCCAGGCAGTGTCATCACTTAGAGCTACAAATACAGCCTGGGGTAAAGCCTCATACCAGTGCCGTTTTCCTTTTATAGTTACTTTTCCACAGGCAAAAGCTTTGTTAGTCTTCTGTTCAATCTTCCAGAGAAGAGCCCCTGTAAGAGAAGCAAAGAACACAACAGCACTCAGTAATTACTGCAACAGTCACAGGTGACATGTTCTAGCTACATCTAAACTAATAGGAGGGGAAAAGCAAATCATAGCATTAAACAAAAATACAAGTTTAAAAAGCCCTTACAATTTTTTTTAAAAGCGAGACCAGAACAGTAACTGACTTCTAAGACACAATAATATCTTAAAAAAAGAAAACCAAATGGAACTCCAAGCTTAACTGCTGGCTTGCACCAGAACAGTACATTGTCATATTAATTTCCTTTGAATGATTACACACAGTTGCATTTAATTCCATTTCGACATGTTGTGGTTAACATGCTCCCAGCATTAACGCATCCATGGCAAACTGTGGATGCTAGAAACTTCCACAGATTCAGAGAAAAGCTGGGTGAATTCCTGGAACTGAAGGATAAGAAATGCAGAGGAACAACCTTTTCGCCCCAGCAATTTGAGCCACCAACAAATGTAGCCTGAAACTACCAAGGGCAAATATGACACACATCCATGCCGTTCACTTTTCTGCTCGGACCTGTTGGACCACTTTTAAGGGTAAGATACTGAGCTGGATTAACCCACACTTTCAACTACTGCAACTGAAATTGTTTTGGCTACAGAAAAGCTCAGCTACAGATCAAACAGAATTTTCTTCTTAAAACAGATAGCAAGTCTTCCCCTATAGACAGAAGGGAAGAGCTTTTAGAGATGACAGGGAAGAAAATGTGCTTTTAGAAATGACAGGGAAGAAAAGTAGTGGCAAGGCAGGAGAAAAAGAAACTTTGTATTTTCACTCCAGTCCTGGAACAATCTGGAAGGCCAAAAGTGACGCAAGTTTATAACCAAAACCTGCTTAATTTTAATCCAACATAATCCTCATTCACAACCATCCAGAACAAATACATATGCAAATGTACTAAAACTTCAAAGGTTTTTTTCTTCAGTATTTGAAAAGAAATCAAATCAACCAACCCACACATACACAAAGCCAGTTCTACACTTAGAAGAAAAAGAACTTTAAAATTGTGAATCACAGAATGGTTTGGGTGGGAAGGGATCTTAAAGATCATCTAGTTCCAACCCCCCTGCCAGGGCAGGGACACCTCTCACTTGACCAGATTGCTGAAGGCCTCATCCAGCCTGGCCTTGAACACTTCCAGGGATGGGGCATCCACAGTTTCTCTGGGCAACCTCTTCCTGTGCCTCACCACCCTCACAGCCAAGAACTTCTATAGCTCTGTAACAAAAATCAAGGTTTTGTATAGAAAAGGAGCTCTTTTCTGCCTACCACTAAACTGTTACTTCTGAAGTTCACTTTAACCAGGCAAATAAATGCATGTTGAAAACCTCCCAAAATGCAATGTGAACCTGCTAGAAAGACAGCAACTTAAACCAGAACATGGGATGCACAGGTAGTGAAGATGCAGTCATACAACTGTGACTATTCAAAAAAAAACAAACAAAAAGGAATCCAAACCAACACACTACTTTTACATGAAACAAGCCCTAAACAACCAAGTTTCTGGAAGCAATTGATTTGAAAAAAACAAACAATGAACTGCCTGTGTGGAAATTACATATGCACTCAACTATGTATGTAACCTGATAAAGATGACAAGTTTTACCTGATTAAATAATAACATACAAAAACCC